TAATGTAAAAAGTTTTCATTAAGACTAATAAAGATAAGAGCATGGTCTCACCTTAAACATTAAAAAAAAAAAAAAAAAGTTATTATTATTATATTATTATTATTAGTATTAAATTATTAGTTATAGTTGATTATATTTAGAATAAAGAAGATTCTATTGGGTAATAAAATAGAGCACAGTAATGCTACAGCCAAGTGCCTCTAAGTGCCTTTGCACAAGTGCCTCTAAGTGCCTTTGTACAAGTGCCTCTGCACAAGTGCCTCTAAGTGCCTCTGTACAAGTGCCTCTAAGTGCTCCTGTACAAGTACCTCTAAGCAGAGATAGTAAATGACCTGAAATGACCCAAATGACAAATGACCAGTTATTGGGTCATTTCAAATTTAAATGACCCATAGAAGGTTATTTAATATTTGTCAACTTATAATCTAATGCTTTTTAGCCAATCAAAATTGATTATTAGACAAAAAGTAATTTTTATAATGTGCAACACTTAAAGACTACATTTGTTCTATTTGGGGTCATCAATGATTGTTATATAGTAAAGTTAAAATTATACTATGTAAATTGAAATTTGAATATTAAGTAAAATTGTTAAAGAGATCAAAATACACATACAGTCGTCCTCCCATACAATCACCTCCTACATAATCACAAACTCTATACAATCACACAATTTTGTATGGTCATTTTTTTTATATTAAAAATACCTTTATATAATTACATCAATAGTATTATCACTATCATATTTTTTTAAACATTTTTTAATCCAATTTATTAAAAAAAATACTTCTTTATAATCACAATTTTTTTATTGGTCATAAACGCATAATCGTGATTGGCTAAACAAAAATTATAACTGATAAGATGCATTTGTATTTACAGTATGTGGCGTATAGTTGAAGTAGTGTTCTGATTCTTTCTTTGATAGGCCATTTGGATTTTATTAAATCTGGATTGAATCTATGTCAAATTAGATGTAAAGCTAGCTTTGAGCACATCTTTATGTTCGTTATTTAAGTTCTTTGACCAATCTGAGTAAAATCTTTGATCTGGATATCTAAATTTATCTGGATTTAAGGATCAATCCAGATAGTCAGATTAAGAATTGGAACACTAGGTTGAAGAGAACTTGAATTGAAAAGAAGAATTAGTAGTGAAAGAAAAAAAAATACACAAAAATGTTTAAATACTTATCACATTTGGATTGGTTTTGCATTCGAATTTGTGGTCTTGTGATTACGTGGTTCGATCACGATTGTCGGATCAGAAGGTAATCTGCGATAAAAGCATAAAATCAATGTAATAATCAGTGAACGTAGGAGTAGTTAATGAAAGGTTAGTGATGTAAGTGATGTAATAAATTAGAGTCAAATGTAGCATATATAAAGGATATGAGAAAAATAAAAAAATTACTTTCTCTTTCGTTTTAAGTAAAATACCAGTAACGTCGATAAATTCTTACCTCCATATTCAAGACATTAGTAGTTGATTTTATTCGGTCGTCAGTTAAATTCGTAGTCATCGAGAGCCGCGACAACATTATGTGGCAGATACGTACTTAGACCAAAGGTAATATTTATAGTATGGTTAGCAAAATATATTATAGAAAAGCAAGTAATTAATCAGGTTAGCCAAAATAACTTCATTTGTCATAGGATAGGATTAACCGGTAGTGCTATTTCCTATCTGCTAAAACTAGCCAAGTGAAGAAATAAACTTTATGATTTTGGAGTAGGTTAGGGCCATGAGAATTTTTTTTTTTTAAGCACTAGCGAACTAGTTTTGTTGTATCTGATACTTGGCTTTTTCTGTTTTAACATATTCAAACACGCACTCGATTCTTTATGCCAGACATTCTCACGCCACACTCCTTATGGCAATTATATCCAGATTTTTCCTTATGCTAGAGTTGCTGCTCGTCATGATTTACTAAATTTTCTAATTTTGGTTGTATTTTAATTGAGTTTTATTTATGATACATAACAATAGTGTTCAAGTTTTGCCATGTTCAAGACTTATTATAGGTCAAGTTTCGCCATAAATCAAGGATTAAATTTATCGTGAGTAAAACTTCATACAATGAAGATTTTTATAATCAGGTTTAACTGTGTTCAATTTTTGCTATAAGCAAAATTTGTGTGGATAAAATTTTACTATAAATTAAGTTTTGCTATTTTATCACAGATAAATTTTTTCTAAAAGGTTTTAAGTTCGAAAATGTCAAGGAAAAGAGCAAGAACGGCTATTAGTAGCTGTTTAAAATGTGAAATTTGTAAATATAGCAATAATTATCCAAATAAAACACATTTAAACATCACGCAATATTTTAATTAAAAAAATTCGATATTAAATCTTGAACGTTCAACCATTTCAAAGATTTTAAAAGAAAAGGATAGATGGTTGGCAATTACTAATAATGAAGCCAACATGGACGTTTTTCATTATAAAAGAGTTAAATTTCCTTTATTAGATAAAGCTATGCAGTTGTGGGTTGAGCAGGTTGTAGATAGTCAAATCTTTTTGACAGAAGCAATTATTAAAGAAAAAGCAATTTTTTTTGCCCGGGCACTAGCCTTACCAGACAATGCATTAAAATTTTCTAATAGTTGGGTTCATAAGTTTAAGAAGAGGAATAATTTGCGGAACTATCGATTACATGGAGAGGCTAATAGTACGCCGTTAGAATTACTTCCAGAACAAAGAACTAAGTTACGTGAAATAATTGAAAAGTATTCTCTAAATAACATTTTCAACGCAGATGAAACAGGTTTATATTTTAGAATGGCACCGCATCAAACACTTGCGTCACAACCACAATCAGGATAGAAAAAGGTTTTTATAATTTGTTTTATTTTATACTTGCCAGCAAACCTGTACAAAATCCCAAACTCCAAAAATAATTGCCATTAATAAAAAAATCAAATCAAGAAATGACCTTATATTTTGTATACCATTTGCTTAAATAAAGATTGTTAATAAAGTTTTTGAGATATTGATTGGGCTAGTTTGGAATTTGGGTATGATCAAACTAAAAGTGCAGGCAGATTGATGTAACTTTCCGTAACTATAATGAGTTACGGCAAGTTACGGCAATTTGCCTACACATCTAGAACAAACCCAAACTATAATAGCTTGAGATTTGAGTAGCAAGCATAAATACAACTCAGTGAAATAGTAGATTTATTAAGTTTATTGTTATTAATTTTAGTTATAATTTACCTTTAGGATCGCACACATATTACGGTCATGCTAACCACAAATGCGACTGGAACTGAAAAGTTACAACCAATAGTAATTGGATTATCCATTGAACCTAGAGCTTTAGTCCACTTAAATTATGATGCCTTATCAGTAACATATCGTGCAAATTTAACGGCTTGGATGAGAACCGATATCTTCTGCGAATGGCTCACAAAACTTGATGAAAAGTTTCGTTCAGCAAACCGGCAAATTTTGTTGTTAGTTGATGGTGCAAAGAGTCATTATAATCCTAATGAAGAATTGAGTAGTGAAGAAGAATCAAGTAATGATGAATCAAGTAATGATGAATCAAGTAATGATGAATCAGAAAGTGAAAACGAAGAAGATGAAGAATTAGAAAGTGAAGAGTTAGATGAAGAAACCCATGCAAGCTCATCTAAAACCCCGCATACTCGACGTGGCCGTCCGAGGTTAAGTGCTGGTAGCATTAATAAGCTAAAAGAGCGAAATTCTCTTCATGGTCGTGGTCGTGGGCGTGGACGTGGACGTGGACATGAGCGTGGGCATAGCAAGGGCCGTCACGGCACTGGTCGTCTCTATATTATTCCAAATCCTTCTGATATTCGTTTAACAAATATCCGAATTGAATTTTTACCACCCAATACTACGGCTCACCTTCAGCCGATAGATGCAGGGGTTATCAATAGCTTTAAAGCTAAATATAAAAAAAATATATTTAGCATGTATTAAATTAGTTCGAAGGAGGCGAAAATTTAAGAAAGTAAGGAAACACCTGATTTTCTCTACATACTACACCCGATGTGATGCGATTTTTTACATAAGAAATCAAAATCACGTGCATTACTCATTCACTTTTATTTGTCATACTGGGTAATCAAAATAAAATATATCATATTTGCCTTTCTTATGAAATTCGTATAGATGCTTAATTGCATAAATGTGGTGTATATACAGAAGCCGGGCTTGTTGCACGGCTATAATAGATGCTGCCGTAATTCAAAAAAAAATAATTACTAATCATTTTCATTGTTAAAATTTTCTTTTTGAATTACGGTAGCATCTACAGGCTATAGTGTGGAAATTTTAAAGTGTATATGCACTTTGTATTTATAATAGGAGGTTTAGTTATTTGAAATAAACTATAGTTTGCTCTTGGGTTAATTTATATGGATCTACTTTCGAATGAGTTATTTATATATCCAGATTTTTAATTTTAATCCAATTGGTTCTATAAAATTAAAAAATTTTATTGATACTCTTTTTATTTTGTGCAGAAATAAATTAAACATCAGGGATG